CAAAATCCCTGATAGATACCCGTTATAACCATGGGTAAAACTAATAACCGTCTATTTAAATTTCACAGATAAACGGTTATACCTATAACCGTTTATTCGTCTAAACGGTTACCCATAACCGTAACCGTGAACTTTAAATGGACGGGTAACCGCGGTTACCCAAACCCATGAGTATTTTGCCCATCCATAATGCACACAACAATTCTCCCTGACTATGCGTTGTGTGATCTTGTGGCGCTTCTTTCGCTTGTGAATAAAACGTCTTTCCAACCAAATGATAAAACTAACCAGGTATTTTAATATCGCTTGTACTAAAAAAACAAAAACTCGCCACTTATTTATTGTTATTCAAGTGCATAAGGAGCCCAAATGGAACTTAACTAATGATTCATCGATAATTAAACAGCGGTGAAAAGTAGATCACAGTAAACTTGCCTGATACCGTTGTAAATTCAGACAGATACGCTCTCTTCCTGAAGAAGTTTGACAAACACTAAACAACTAAAAGAGCAATTAAGCTCTCACCGTTCACCTTTCACCTTTCATCTTCTCCGCTGCTCAACCACATTAAACTTACTGTTACATGTGTTGCATTTTTAGTACTTCTTCCTCATGGTGCATACGACGCGTACGGTGAGATCTTCTATGTTTATGAGTATGTACTTTTGGGGGACTGTCAGTGCTAGAGGTACTCGGAAGAAGAATCTCCTCCCTTGTTGTATTACCAAACACGCAATCAAAGGGTCGACCATTGAATCAACATTAGAGTTCATCTACAAAAAGAGATGGCGTCAGAATGGAAGAGTTGCCATGAAAGTATAGAGTAACGTCCTCATCATTATTAAGGTATCTACATAGACAACGGGTAAGAGCGAGAATCCTGTCGGGAAGTGCAGAGTACAAATGATCCCCTACAATAGTACCATTCACTGTTGATTTCATCATGTAACTTTTCTGAAGACAAGCCTGCAAAAGAGATCTAAATCTATATCACCTAAGAAGTAAGGTTTGCCACCGGTATAGGCACAGGGCATGATACTTTCTTTGGCACGCAAATTTGATCTGGGTAGGATAGGTTTTCTGTACCATTACCATGTAATGGTTCACATGCATTTGGTGGGTATAATGTTCAACTATATGAACAGTAAAGTTTATAATTTACAAACTATTTTACGTAGACATTCCTCAACAGTGACCAAGTTTCTGCTATATCTAAATTCCAAAATCTTCTCCTGCACTACTATGGCTACTTATAAAATTGGGGTGGTGCTATCCACACATCCATTTTTACCTCTCACACACCCCTCCTAATTTCTTACCGTCAGATCGAATGAATTGAAGAAGATCAATGGACAAAAATTAACAAGGGTGTATGGGAGGTAAAAGGGGTGTGTGAATAGCACTACCCTAAAACTAAACTCATCAGTAATTTAATGCAACCATTTCTAAGAAAAGAAATTACTAGATAAGTATTCTTACAGGAACTTGTTTAGGAGCAAAACGTTTTTTGTCAGAGTCATTCTGGATGTTCTGGGAATCACTGTCAGAAGCACTCTGATGGTCGCCATGCGAAGCCTGTTCTGAATCACCTTGAGGGTCGCTGTAATCTGTTCTTCGACCATGGGTAATGTTATCACTAAAATAATTCCGATAACGCCACCTCAGTGCTGGTTGATCTGAGTTCGCATCATCAAAAACTTTCTCAGAGTAGAACTGTTTAGAGATAAGCCGCATCATAGAAGGATCATTCTGATACTTTTTCACCATTCTGTTATTTGAATCACAGTTCATAGTTCAATAATTCAAGAATTCCAATTAAAGTTAGTTGAAAACAAGATATCGGTCATATACTAAAGTGCATATATTTTCCTGGATAAATAGATGTACAGTACATGTCCCAAATATATTCAGATAATTACATACAAAATCCAACTATCCAAGTAAACAAAGGCATGCCAGAGATGTGAAGAAAGGGCAGACACTAGTCATATACAGAAGTGAAGTTTTCGTGAATGGATAAATGTACTCTGACATCTGACTTCAATTCGATAAGTGTAAGAAAGAAATTTTTTTTTGGTCGGACGAAAGACAATGAACCTAAAATTTCAAATTAATAACTCCTAATTACAACTCATGAAGAATAGATCCACACCAAGATGGCTAAAGATCTTTGGATATCTGACATCACCAACCATGGGCAGCTAACATGTTCTACTCATGCATACCAGAAGAAAATCAGTGTTTCTAGAAAATTGCAGAGTGAATTCATCAAAAATCATAAAAAGAAGTAAGGTGACATACATAGTTGCTAACTCTGCCTGCAATCGACTTCCATCCTGAGAAAGAATATGGTCAACACATGAGTTTAAGGACCTCGAGAAGATCCATAGTCCAAATGTAGCAGCAGCTCCTGCAGAAACATAAAACTTGTTCATAGGAGAATTTGATAGGTAGCTATGATTCATATATATATATATATATATATATATATATATAGAGAGAGAGAGAGAGAGAGAGAGAGAGAGAGAGAGAGAGTTTAACTCACCTCCTGAAAGGTTAAGTCGAACAAACTTATTCAGCTTCTTTGATGCTGGATAAAACATTGAGATTGTTAAAAGAATGAAACATATAAATAAACGACAATGAGAAACGAAGTAATAACCATCCAAACTTACAATAAACAAAACTTGAATCGTTATTGGACCCCAAAAGAAGAACGTCTAAATGTAAATTAAATGGAACAAAAAAATTACGATAACTGTTTATTAAAGATCCTACAACTTTTCACCAGCCTGCTCACTCGAATGATTATAAATGAGTATAAAGGTGATTTGCAGACGGTAAATATTCATAAAAGCTCCAGGAAACGTGTAAGATTACAATTCTGTGAATCATATAATATCAATTGCACAGCTGATATCCTCTCCCTTGTACTGTTTCAAAAAGTGCATAATTAAGAAAAGAAGAAAAAAGAACAGGATGGAAAAATGTATTAACTAGAATGCTATGGATTGTTATTTTCCAAGCAGGGAAAGCCAACATATTTGTACAGTGTACGCAGTACATATCTTTTTCATTTGAACATACGTGCGGCAATCTGTGAACGCCTAATGATAACTACCTTAAAACCATGGAACAACGAAAACTCGAAATACCAGAGAACCAATGTTTCTCTATCCAAAACCAATCCACATTGTTGTAACTGAAAATGACCCAATGTAAACTCTCAATCCAAATAATGAGAAACCCACGTTTCTCTATCCGAAACCAATACAAACTCTCGTAACATAAAATCACCAAATCAAAAGTGGGGTTTGCAGCTTTTACTGAATGTGAATCCGAAATGTGAGTGGAGTTGGATAATATCGAAAAAGCCTTGACTGTACCATTATCACTATCATACAATTGAAAATTAAAAAGTGGGGGTTTGCAGCTTTTGCTGAATGTGAATCCAAAATGTGTGTGGAATTGGATAAAGTATCGAAAAAGTCTTGACTGTACCATTATCACTATCATACAATTGAAAATTCCGACCTCCCAATGAATTGAAATATACAGAAAACATAGTTGGAAGATAAAAATTCACAAAAAAAAAAAAAAAAAAAAAAAAAAAAAAACAAGGACAAGAACCCAGAACAAGAAAATTGACAAATTAGATAGAGACAGACCTGTCCAGGCAACGGTAGCAGCAGCAAGACCTCCGAACGTAAACTCCCTGACAGCTTTGGACTTGCACGTAAAAAGAAGCTTAATTTCTTCAGGGGTCAATTTGACCTGCAACGCACAGTTGGTGCATCAAGGTTAGCAATTGATGTAATTTTGGGTACCATTTCGGTAATCCTGAATTGGGATTAGGGTATCGAGGATTTTGGCGCCTGAAATTTGCGAAATTTGTGAAATGGGAGTGAAAATTTTTACCTGTTTGTACCTGAGATGTTGCTCCAGCTCGAACAAAGCTTCTCCCATTTTGTTGTTTTGGGCTTTCAGATCATTAAGTTTCCTCCGTTATATACCAGAAATGGTATTGGCGTTACTGTGCATTCCTCACTTCGCGTGTATTTTTCACAATTCCACACACACACACACACACACACACACACACACACATATATATATAGATATATATAATATATATATCTTAAAATTTTCATTCTACATATTAAACTTTCTATATTATATATATATAACACACACACACATACATATATATCTATCTTAAAATTTTCATTCTATATTTTAAACTTTCTATATTTTTAAACTTTATATATATATATATGTATGTATGTATGTATGTATAAAAGCATCGGATTTACAAAGACGCACATGAATAGAAACGACTTGTCGTTTGGTACTGTAGTCGTATGATTAATTTTTGAGAAAATTAATGAAAAAGATTTGAAAATTTTGAGTTTTAACGATAAGGATAAATGTGAATAGTATCACGATTGACTTTTTTAGTGTAAAAATATAGTTTTTTTTGTTAAAGTGAACAGTATCAAGAGTTTTTCGTTAAAGTTTTCTTACTCCCGCTCCATTTTCTTTACATGTTATCCATCATCAAAATTTTTGTACCATTTAAAACTTGTTATAAACTTTGAGAACTAGCTTTGTTTCTCAAAATGTAGTTTTCTTGAGCCAAAACTACACCCAAACATCATGGCATTGGCACAAAAACTGAAATTTTCTACGATTATGAAGTCGTTACCTTATTCAACGGATTAGACTAATGGTGTTAACTGAATGCTATTGTGATGAAAATGAAAAACAAATAAGCTACATGATCTAGAGTTAAAATTCGAGCGAATACAGGGACGTTAATGAAATTTCCCTATATTTAATTTGAACAGAAAAGTGCCTCTGCGGCTGTGTTTCCCTCCATTTCTTTCATCCCCACCTCCAAACCCAGAACTTTCAACAAATTTCAATGGTGAAGAAGTCCTGAGAAGTGAGAAACCACTCAAACCAACCATTTTCCTTCATTTTCTCACCTCCCAAACACAATGTCCAGCCTTCCCCACACCACCCTAGCCCTCCCTCCCCACCCGAACCCGTACCCTAACACACCCGCAACCCTCTCCACCGCCGTATCCTCCGCCAGAAGCCTCACCCACCTCAAACAAGTCCACGCTCAAATCCTAAAATCCAACCTCGACCGCCCCGACTCCCTCCTTTACAATCTCCTCCTCTCCTCCTGCACCCTCTCGCCGAGCCTCCACTACCCTCTTTCCATCTTCAACCAAATCCCCAAACCCCAAATCCATATGTGCAACAAGCTCCTGCGCGAGTTCTCACGATGCGCTGAGCCCGATAAGGCCCTTTTGGTGTATGAGAGGATGAGGAGGGAGGATGTGGGGGTGGACAGGTTCAGCATTCCGCCGCTGCTGAAGGCGGTGGCCAGAGCTTCGGCTTTGAGTGAAGGGATGGAGATTCACGGTGTAGCTTGGAAGTTGGGTTTTCATTCGGACCCGTTTGTGGAGACCGGGTTGGTCAGAATGTATGCCGCTTGTGGGAGGATCATGGATGCACGGTTGATGTTTGATAAAATGTCTCGCAGAGATGTGGTTGCCTGGAGTATTATGATTAACGGGTATGATTTGGTCTGATGTTTTCAAGTTAAACAATGTGATTATCTTATTAATGGTTTCGAGAATCCCAAGAATTAAGGCTTTAATTTACTCAGGAAAACAATTTTTTTGAAGGATTTTCAGCTGTATATTATTTCAACAATTTGCTAAAATTGTAACCCGGGAAATTTCGCAAACAGGTACTGTCAGAGTGGCCATTTCGACACCGCATTCCGCCTGTTTGAAGAGATGAAGAACTCTAATGCGGAGCCAGATCCAGATGAGATGATACTTTCTGCCATTCTTTCAGCTTGTGGTCATGCTGGAAAGTTGGCTTATGGGAAAGCAATCCATGACTTCATTATGGAGAATGATATTGTGGTTGACTCTCATTTACAGAGTGCACTTATCGCCATGTATGCAGGTAGTGGCTCTATGGACTTGGCTCAGCAGTTGTTTGACAAGACATCACAAAAAAATTTTGTAGTTGCAACCGCAATGGTTTCTGGGTATTCAAAACTGGGACGGGTTGAAGATGCACGTTTGATTTTTGACCAAATTGTTGAGAAGGACTTGGTCTGCTGGAGCGCCATGATATCTGGTTATGCAGAAAGTGATCAACCTCAAGAGGCTCTTAGATTGTTTGCTGAAATGGAAGCTTCGGGGTTAAGACCTGATCCAGTGACCATGTTGAGTGTCATTTCAGCTTGCGGTCATCTTGGTGCACTGGATCAAGCTAAGTGGGTTCATTTATATGTTGACAAGAATGGATTTGGCAGAGTTTTGTCTGTCAACAATGCGCTGATTGATATGTATGCCAAATGCGGGAACCTGGAAAAAGCAACAGAGGTGTTTGAGAACATGAGAAGAAGAAATGTGATATCTGGACCACTATGATTAGCGCCTTTGCGATACATGGGGAGGCTAGTAATGCACTAAACTTCTTCAATCAAATGAAAGATGAAAATTTTGAGCCAAATGGGGTTACATTTGTGGGCGTGCTTTATGCTTGTAGCCATATGGGGTTAGTTGAGGAGGGTAGAAGAGTCTTTGAATCGATGATTGATGAATACAACATCACTCCGAAACATGAGCACTATGGATGCATGGTTGACCTCTTTGGTCGTGCCGGTCTTTTGAGAGAAGCTCTTGAGGTTATAGAGGCAATGCCCTTTGCACCGAATGTTGTCATTTGGGGATCTTTGATGGCTGCTTGTCAGATTCATGGTGAGACTGAATTAGGAGAATATGCTGCAAGACAGCTTCTTGAGCTGGAACCAGACCATGATGGAGCCCTTGTGGCGTTATCAAACATTTACGCAAAACAAGGAAGATGGGAAGATGTTGGCATTGTGAGGAAAACAATGAAAAGCAGTGGTATATCTAAGGAGAGGGGGTATAGCAGGATAGAACTAAACAACGAGGTACACGAGTTTTTAATGGCAGATAGAAATCATAAACAAGCAGATCAGATCTATGAAAAATTAGACGAGGTAGTTAGTGAGGTGAAGCGGGTTGGTTATACTCCCAACACGAGTTGCGTTTTGTTTGATTTAGAAGAGGAAGAAAAGAAGGAAGCGATTCTCTTGCACAGTGAGAAGTTGGCTCTTTCTTACGGTTTGATAAGTAAGAAGCAAGGTTCAAGCATTCACATAGTTAAGAATCTCCGGATTTGCGAAGACTGCCATACTTTCATGAAGTTGGCTTCAAAGGTGTATGAGAGAGAGATTATTGTCAGAGATAGGACTAGGTTTCATCACTACAAACATGGTTTATGCTCTTGTAACGACTATTGGTAACTGTATTCTGTCTGAGATTAAATATCATTGTACAACTATTTATTAAAATGTGGATACGAAATTATTCGCTGAAACAAATCAATATAGGTATTAGAAAATAAATAATATGATTACTTTTCAGTTGATTAACAGTGTTTATGGCCTCTAATATTTACAAACACTTCCCGGGAATTGTATATTCTGGAAATTTGCAGGTCGAACAGAGAAAAACTCAAATGCAGTATTTCAAGAGGAAGGACGTAGTAAGGTAAAAACTCTTCAGCTGCAATGTCATTTGGAGCCATGTTGAAAAAGAGATTTTGTTTGCCGAAACACGAAAGAAGCTTTTCATTTAGAACAGTTTGAGATGCTATCTATATGGATTCCTATAGCCAAGCAGAACCTAGTTTGTTGTTGCTAGTTAATCAAAATCAGGAAAACAACAATTTCCCTGATTAGTACATATATACAGCTCGAGATCAAATTAACGATTAAGCTCAACAGGTTACGCAACACCACATAATGAAGGGACATTTTTTCGAATCTTCTCACAAGACATGAGATCCGGATATCTGCTGAGAGAAGACAGTGCACCTCCGATGATGTCCCCTTAGTCTCCTTAGGTTGGGATTTTGATGTTGTAGTTTGCAGAACTTTCAACTTGCTGGTTGTTGCCAAAAGTAGATAAGATCCAAAACTTCTGCTGCATCTTTCCAAGCTTTCTGGAGATCATATTCTTAAAGAAGGCTAGTGCTGCTGAAACCAATCTTTGGTTATCAAATGTCGTGCTCCACCAATACTCAAGAATCCATGTATTCGGATCTAGCCGCACAGCTGAGGCACCCCAACTTCTCTGCACCCAGGAAGTGTTTGGCGCCCGAATCACATAGCCGCCAACCTTTCCATCCGACCACTTCTCATCAACAACAAAAAAAGAGGTAAGGAAGTAGCATATGTTTGTACATCATGATAATATGATGCTAACAGAAATTTCATCTAGCTCAAAAGTTTTTAGCATTACCTCTGTGACTCTGCCGGATAAGATTGTGAAAGACCGGGAAGAAAACCCACTCGTGAGCAACCCGGCTGTCTGCAAAGGCCATCCCCATATTCTCACCTCCTCGATTGCAGATTTGTACAACGTGCAATGTGAGCTCAGAAGCAAACCATCCTAACATGTCATCATATAACCAGTCTGTGAGTTTTTAAACAGAAATTTCAAGTTCGTTACCAAATAATGCTGATTGAACTTTTAAAGGAAATGTCTGCTTACTAGTACCTGACTAATATCCCAAATAGAATTAGGACAGCTGCAATTCGAAACTCTGCCCGGAACAAGACCCTGCATCTCTTTCTGCAAGAACCCAGCCTGCCATTCAAATCATCCAGAACCCAAGACTTTTCACCAACATTTCTCACAATCTCCGGCAAGAGAATAGGTTTTAAAGCCCCTGAAACCATATTAGAAAACCCCACATAAACCAAGCTTAAACCCAAAATCAATCTCCAAATTTCACACCCAAAACCCCTTTTTCTCTCCCTATTCTTAACCTTCTCCTTCGATTTCAATCTTGCAGCCGGTTTAAGCTCCGGAGACATAGGAATCGGAGGAGAGCCTGAAGTGGGTGTGGACAAAATCGAAGCTTCGAAAGAGATGGGAGTGCGTTTGACACTCGGGTTGTTCTTGGGCCTTGAAGATGAGAACTTGGTGAGCGAGGTTTTCTGGATGCTGAAAGGCATGAGATCGAGAGTGGCATTGATACTGGCCAAGCACATTTCGCAGTTGCAGTTGGCATCTTTTCGGCATCCTGGGTAGTAGCAGCTGTCGCGGTTTTCAGATCTGTCGTCATCCATGGCGGTGGTGGTGCTCGATTTCACTGAGGATGATGTCGTTGTTGTCGTCGACGGCGACGATGAGAGGGCGGATTTCATGGCTGCTTGAGCGTTTCGGGGTTTAGGAGAAAGGCTTTGTTTCGTTGACATGGTCTTTGAAGCGTTCACAACTATGCTGTGTGGGGACAGATATGGTTTTTAAAATTCGAATCCCCAACGGTCATATATGGCATGATCAGGTGGGAGGTAATTTGTTAAACCCACCCCATGGTCAAGGGTTTGCTGTCTCCAAATTTGATGTCTCCTACATGTGTCTCCTCTCATTTATTGACATGTGTACAACCCCTTAACCTTAACTCAACTCTGTTAACTTTTATTAAATTAACAAATAAATACTACCAAAAAATGAATGGGGAGAGATCATCAGATCTCTCTCACCAAAGTCACACAATCAATTAATTCGGATCCGTAAAATTTGATATAACGGCTAAAATTATTATAACTTTTAAAGGAACTTCCTGTTTGTCACCGTTAGATCAAATTTCAAATGTCCGAATTAATTGATTGTGTGATTTTGGTGGGAGAGATCCGGAGAGGATCTCTTCCCAAAAAGAATAAACAAAGAAATTCGCAGATGCTAAGTCACAACTTCGTCAGCAACCACAGGTGGTAACAGGAGCATTTTTGCTCACTATTATAACTATGATGTATGCTCATCATGTACTTAATTATTTGTTATGTGTCTGTTTAACTAACTTTAGTTAACTTTCACATATTATTTTTTCAATTTTGTAAGAAATTAATCAAAATTAAGTAAAAAAATACATAACAAATGATTAAGTATATAATAAATATACACTAAAATTTATGATGGTGAACAAAAATGTTTCTCGTGATAACCCCTCTTCTACTGGTTGCCACCATTCCTGAACTCCTCGCTCTCTCTTTTTCTCCTGGCTCAAGATTCCGATAGCCATCTTCCATATTTAACAATTGATTTTTATTTGCCAAAATAATTAAATTAATATTATGTGTTTTTTGTCATTTTATACAATCATAGCTATTTCATATAAAAATTTATCAAACACAATGATATTGCTTTTCTTTTTTTTGTTTTTCTTTTTTTTTTTATTTTTTATTTTTTATTTTTTATGCTAAAAACACTTTATTGTTTTATTACACAGTTACTTATTCTCATAACACAGTAAAAGTTTTTTTTTTTTTCAAAACACATCAATACCAAACTAGCCCTAAGAAATGAGATTATTTGTTAACTAGCTTAACAAAATTAGGACGCTGAGGAAATATTATGTTCATGCATCATCATTGCTTCCATTGTGTTAAATGCATTGTATTTATTGTCCTACTAAGCTAGTAGCTCACCCCTTATAAATTATTAACAAGTGAGACTTGAAAAGTAGTCGACTTTCACCGGAAGTCTTAAGGAAATTTTACAATGTAAATTCGAGTGTTCTCTTATGTTGTAAATTAAGGTTTGTTTAAATAAGGAACAAGAGTTCCATACGGTTGCCTTTTGTATTCTGGAAAGACAAAGGATGAATTGTAAAGTAAAAACAAACTCAAGTTTAGTTTGTTTGTTGTTAGTTGCTCTGGGGTCTTTCTTTTATTATTTTATTTTTGTCACATCTGAATTACGAAAATTGTATATTCTATATTTGAGATGCGATTCACACCTTAATTCCAAACTTGGCTTTAGTTTCCGAATTGAGGCGTGCCTTGCATTCATTATTTAAGGCATCAAAGAGCCCTTGACTTGCACTATATTGATGCGACAAGGCGTAATATGTTTGTTGATTTGAACATTAGTAAAACAAAGGCTAGTTGTGGCACGCTTGCTTTGTAATTGCTGGTTAAAAACAAAACAAAAAAACTACAAAAACAAGCCCAATATCAAATCGCAATATCACGAGTAGAACTAAATAATAATTAATTGGTACCATATGTCTACACATGTGTTTTACATACACTGTAATTTGCTCCTGTTTATTGAGAAATGCAGGGTTTCCTGCACGCCGCACAAAAACCTTTGCTATCAGATTCATATGATATATATGCTGCATGCGATGTCGTACCAAGAAACTGACAATTCAGGTCAGACATGGCATCGATCTTTACTAACAAAGGAATACGATATTCAGTTAAGCATACACTGACACTTGAATAAGCCCGGTAACAGATCGCTTCTGGACTGGACCGATCCTAAACCTAATTGTGCCGCAATTAACTATAGTATGTCTCAAGAGACTAGATTAATTAGATCATATGAACTTACGATTCTTTAACTATTAACATGTACATTTTACATATTTATATACCAACTGTTTCATCATATATGTTTAGGGGTGATTTTGGTATGGTTACCGTATCAAAAGCACCGTACCAATTACCATACCAAACTTTTGGTATTATTGAAGTTTGATATATCAAATAGTTCGATTAGCATGGTATAGTAATGATAATTACAACTTTATTTTGAGCCCTTTTTGGGGCCAAAATCTGAAGAAAAAAAATTTCATCAACCCAATTCAAGGCCCACTTTTTTCAATTTTTATGCCCTTATCTCATATTTTACATGCACAATCATATAACTCTATAATTAATTCATACCCTTCAGATGATTTAACCATACTTGAAGCAAGCAGGTAGCAAGCACTGACAGTAAAAAACTACAGGCAACAAGCACATGCGGTTACACACCAACACAAATCCCATCATGTTTCATGTAATTGACACTCATTAAATATATACTATTTTATATATATTTCATGTACTAATCACTACATATATATATATTTTTTTTTCCGATACGATACGGTAATACCACGGTAATAGTATTGAATACCAATACTGTACCAGAAAACTTTGGTTCGGTACATTACTGTGCCATTACCAATTGGTACAAGATCAATATGATACGGTTGACAATTCGGTTGACACGGTAATTTGGCAAAAAAATCCACCTCTATATATGTTACATATATATATGGCATCATCGTTCATATAATATTTGCGATCTTAATCAGCTTACTGTCCCACACAATTCTTCTTCATGCGAAACTGGGGGAATATGTATAAGAGAAGAGTTAAACATAATGTTATAGAAGACAAATTATGTTCAATCTAAAAATGGATGATCTAGGACGGTTAATTAGATTGATGCTCGTGAATAACTGATCCTAGTATGTTTTTGAGATGGCTTCCTTGTATTTTCAATCAAGGAAGGACTCTAATGGTATTCATACGTGCCAAGTGTAGCTTAAGCAACATTATGGTACTCTTGATGATAAAAGATTGTTGAAATTTTATTCCCTATTCGCTGAATATTATAGTGGGAAAGGTCATGCAGTAGGTAATACATGTTGAGTCTTATTTAGTGGGAAAAGTCAAAAGGTTAAGATTTTCCCTGACCATTTGTCTTTCCAACCATGGAAAGAAGAGTAAGACATATCCCACATCAAATGGACCATAATAAATCAAAATTCCACTACCTTCATATTATATTAATTATTCCAACCCAGCAAGAAGTATGGTTGCAATTAGTTCATGAGAAGATGATGAATCGCCCACTTGGGATGTGCTTGCTGATCTTGTGTACTTTTTTGGCGATGAAGAAGAAGATGACATGTCTGACCTTCTCCTAAGCATCTGCCTCATCCCATCTGCCACTCTCACTGCAGGGTTGGATTTGAATTTACCACAAAATGACATGTGTGCCCTCACAGCTTCCTCCATGCCAAATGGCTGCTTGCTGCCCTTGCCAACCTCATCTCTCACTGCTTCTGAGCACAACCCACACAGCCATTTCCCATCAAACTTTGCCTTCACTTGTGTGATGTAGTCTTGCGTGCAATCCTCTTTTAGTCCACAACACTCACACCTCACCATCTCAATCTCCATTCTTTTTCTTTTTTCCTTTGTTTTCTGCTTAGCTGAGTAGCAAAGCTCTGATGAATTGTCAAGGGATTCAAGAGAAAAGTGAGATGTTTTTATTTGTTGGATTGGATTGCAATGATGGGGTAGAAAGTGGGGTTTCTTTTCATTTGTTTTCTCTATTGAGATGTGTTGCTCGCTTGGTTGCTTCATAAACTGTGAAGTGTTTGATTTACGAGAGCTTTTATGGTTAGGATTTTCCTTTTCTATTGGTTATTAGGAATTCAGGAGATGAGAGGACGGAGAGAGGAAAGAGAGGGGAAAGAGGGGGGCCGGTGGGGGGCGGGGGAGAGAGCTCTTATAAGACCAGGGTAAGGAAAAGTGCCATAATTTCCTCCATGTTCTAAGGAACATGGGGCAGTGGGAAATAAGACAAGAGTGGTCGGAGGGGTCCTCAAACCTGGCCCTTTCTATCATATTCAAATACTTATTCTTATCCCCCTAGAAATAAACAATGTTAATTTGTAGGTTTTGGGGTTGTGTATATAACTTATGTTTGTAGCTTTTTGGTAGTTTGACAGTTACTTTCGGTTGAAATGGGTTGAAATATTTGCCTTGTATTAGATGTGGCTTCACTTAGCTCCCTAAACTTTTGGCTGACGAGTCAGGCTTGGAATTATTAATTTTGGTAGTTTGTTTGGTTACCTTGGTTCCATGAACATGTTGACTGCTGACCATCTGACTTTCATGTGTGAATTTAGAGCTTACTATAGTAATAAGGCCAACATCAGCATCATGCTTTGTTGACCAAGAGGCCATGGGTTGTTCAACGGCCAATGATTTGATGAAGATGTGCATTATTGGGGTTTATGATTGTGCGTGTGCTCACTGTGCATGTGTACATCCTTCCTCCTCTCAACTGGTGGTGACGAGAGATTCTTAAAAAGACTATCGCATACATAAGTTCTTTCACGATGACTCTCTCCACTACAATAATATAAGACAACTTTTTTATTGGAAGAATTTTACCATCAAGAGTTATGTGAAAGCCTCTCACCAACAATTTTGAGCCAAAAGATTAGAAATTTCTTCTCTTTGTACTAGGGGAGATTCACAAGTTTTAAGCAATTTGTTAAAAACAAATGATCCACCTAGTTGGAGGCTGCTTACAACAATATTTAACATTTGCATATTGCTAGGAAATTTATTGTTCAACAGTTACAAAATGTGTTTCGTGAAGCTAACATGGCAGTAGATGAGATGTTGCGAATTTAGGTTATTAACTACATTCAAAATTCATATATTTGGTTTTGTAATATCCTACGTAATGTGGGCACCAATAAGTGTGACATCCCACATCGTCCACGGGAGTGATCCTTATATATATATTTTCATCCCTACCTAGCACAAGGCATTTTGGGAGCTCACTGGCTTCGGGTTCCGTAGGAACTCCGAAGTTAAGCAAGAAGGGGGCTAGAGCAATCTCATGATAGGTGACCCACTAAGAAGTTGCTCTTGAGTTCCCAAAAACAAAACCGTGAGGGAATGGTAAGCCCAAAGCGAACAATATTGTGCTACGGTGGTGGAGCGAGCCCAGGAAGTGATCCGCCCCGAGCCGAGATGTGACAGTAAGTACCTGACATGTGATAGGTTGTATCATACTTCATGAAAAGGGTACATGTCACACAGCAAATTACTCAAAAAATTTAAAGTACTATGTCATATGATTTAAATCTTCAATATAAGGTTATAATGGATCTTGCAACAGCTGGAATTTGCATAAAATTCGTATCACTAAGTGAGACATAGTATTGTAACCAGACCTCTCTTTCTAACCCGTTCCTAATGATTTCCAGTATTCATGGCAAAAATTTACCTTTCATCCTTCGGCCGTCAGAATTGAATGTGATCATACATGAAACTTGATCATTCTTGATCACTATTCAGCCATTATTGCAATAATTCAAACAACCTTTTCCTCCTTTTTTTTGTGTTTCCTCCAACAAATCCCACCTAAAGAAATTTATATACTTATTTATTTATGTTGTAAAATGTATAACATTTGTGATGCATTGTTGACATGCTCATTGGCCAATCTGCGCTGCAAATCTTTGTCAACAATTTGTTTTTATTTTTTCTGGGGTTGGTGATCCCATGCAACTGTGTCATGGCATCATTGAGAAGGAAGCAATGTCTATGATCAAGATTTGTTAACGTCGTATGCTGGTGGTTCTGAAGGTACGTTCTTGGCATGCTCCAAAGCTGCCATCACTTCTGTTGTAGTAGATGATTTTTTCACGTCGTGTAACGTGGACTTGATTTGGCTTTACGGTTCACTAACTTATAGCCACGTACGTAGTGGATAATAATTGGTCTATTTTACACTAGCATGTATTATTAATTTGCAGAGTTTAATTACAAAAGGAAAGTGATGTTAACATTATTTTAACTGGAGAGTATATAGTAATATGAAAACAAATCTGTAGATGCGTATTGCATACCTCATATGTTCAAACATTTATTTATTTATTGGATAAAAGTTTTTCAGTATCGAAAGTCGCATAATTTGTAATTTGTAATTGTCATAAGCCTTTGAGACTGAAAATTTATCAAAACGAAGATTTTATAAATTAAATTTGAGCTTGAACATTATGAGTTGGATACGATCAAATTTGTTGCAACTTAAAAATTAGAGAAATATGATGGCCTTCATTTATGAAAGTCAAGATACAATTTAAACCTACGTCACCAATAGAATAAAACTACGAAATAATAATGCAATAACAAATTAAGGTTTAAGTGCATTTTGCACTCTTTTTGGTCATTTTCTCGAAAGAAAAAAGCAACCACAAAGTTACAAATCGTTAATATAATAGTGTTCATCTGTTTGTTAAACTGTAGAGGCAAATACTCTTGTTTTTTTGTGTGGTTCTCGGTGGGTACGTAATTTACTATATGAACGTCATATCAATGTAACGTGGAACCACAAAATCAAATAATATATTTTTGACCTTTTTTAATGTCAAATTCTTTAAGGGTATAAAAATGAACACTACAAGCTTCCATGCCAAATTTTTTTTGTTCATCATGTAATCTGCAACTTTAAGATGGTTTTTATTAATTTCATAAACTATAACCATCAAAAGTTATGAATCCCAAACCATACAAGGGTGAGAAAAGTGAGTGACCTTAGAGGGAAATACTCAGCCAACTTAGGTGCTAGTTTCATTTGCCCTCCTTCTACGCACATGAGAGATTCTCTATGTCACCATCTCACCACATGACATTCATTCAATTGATAGTCAGTGTATTTTTAAATATATGGCAAACGTCTTTGTAAATATATAGTAACATCAATAAAACTGAAACTCGGTTCCATGACGTGATTAACCTCCAAAACAGCTCATCCTTGCAAGTTTGCAAATTCTGGCAGCCATCTTTGTCCATACTAATTACAAAGACCGTTACTTTCATCATTCCGTCCAATGAAGTTAAGAAAAACTTTTCAAAAGGGTTTTCTTTCGTTATTCTCGCACACCAAAATTTTCATTTGTGCATAAATGATCAAATCAGATCCTTACTGACCATCTTTTTTATTATCATATTTTGATTAATTTGAGTTGTTGTAAGGTAATGATATATAATTAAGTACTGAAACATGACCCTATTTATATGACAATGCAAAGCAGATCAGTAATAATTTCTAATCTTAATCGCATATGATCGTCTTATCCTCTAATAATTTGTCATATAAAGATATATTATCAAGTGGTATGGACCACATACAACTAATCAATTGGAGTTAGAACGTAATAATAGTCCACAAGAAAAAAAACCATATCAATAATTGGAATCATTGAATAAAAACACTTACTTACGTGCAAGTGTCTGCCCAGAAATCTTACGACTTAATCATGGACTAGTGCATCTTAAGCAATGTTAGCAATAAGCACACTGAACCGCCACGCAACTGAAGATTTCACTGGTGAGCCAGATGGGTTTTCATATATCCTTTAATTTTGATTGGTACATTACTACAGTACAATGATTGCAACCTCGGTGACATGTATGTACGTACGTATATGTCTTGTCCTTCAACTGATAGATACATAGTACATAACCTGCATCTGAACTTTTATAATACATTTTTCACTAAAAGTATCGTAGGAGTATCTATTCTTCATATGGGACGTACCATGTTATGACCCCATGATTTAGATATGTAGCTTTACGTCAATTTCATCCATCAATCATTATTGACTTACAACATATACTTAACTCTGTATGAGGGAAAACTTACATATGTACCTTAGAGAAATGGAACAATATGATCTTGATGAGTGTTGTTGTAAATAAAGTTATCCCATGACTCAGTGGTATCTAACTTTATGGCAAGAGAAGTCTTTATCTACACTTAGTGTTGATTTCATCCAATTAATCTATTTCTTTCATCGGATGAAATCCATCTGCATATGTGTTCACACGCTAATCTCGCTGAATTAATCCAGATATTTCAATTTCTTTCCAAATATATGAATTTCACATCTCGTCCTTGACAATGCATCTTCACAATACATCCATGAGAGGCTTGAGAGAGCCCACATTGCTCACAATAGTTTTGGAACGTTCTATTCTTGAAACAAGAGAAAATTAGAGCAATGGTTCTTGAATTTTGGCTCAATTTTAGTTCTAAAATTCATGAGTCTTGGTCTCTGAACTTGTCACAACAATGATAATACCGTTAGAAATTTCATCCAAAATAAAGAGTTTAAAAGGACAAAAACAGAAGAAAATTTTAAAGGAGTTAGCCAAATTGACCATTACTCTACATTAAGTTCAATGACCATCACTCACAGGATTTTAGTTCAAGGACCAAAACAAAGCTCCAATTGAATTAAAATTCTATGGTTGTTGCTCCAATTATCTCTTGAGGAAGTAGGATTTTTTTCCCTAAGAAAAATACAAAAATTAGGGTTTGCAATATCTCTCAAACCCTCGAGAGAATTTTTCTCACATAGTAAAAAACACATTTAATCATTAAAAAGAGACTGGAATAAGATGACTGCATTCAATATAGAGCCAAGAATTCTCGGTCTATAACTATCACGGGGTAACCCAATAATTGGGAACAAATTTTAGGCAGGCCCATATCCTAGACGGGCGACGTGCCTGTTTCGTGGCACTGATAAATCATACAATGGAGACCAGAGAAAGGCTGAAATGCCTTTGTGTTTCTTGGCACCGAAAAAGTGGATTGTTGTGAGGAAGCCACTAACTAGTCCATTTTAAAAAATAAAAAAATAAAAATAAAAATAGTATTCTATGTCTATATTATAGGTCCCATGGTCCTACGAAACCGAAGGTGGATGGACAAGCCATGGCCAAGCATGTGGGGTTGCCCAAATGAAGAGCCTCA